GTAGGGATATTTGAGCTATATCGAAAAATTAGGATATTAGACAAATGTTTCAATAATTAGAGCAGGGAGGATGGACTCTGAAGCAGATCTGACACAGATGCACATATGAAGATAGCACGCAAAGTGAATATTATTTTGGTACCAAAGGAAGTACATATTGTGAAGAAAATGGGTATCAGAGAATCAGAATCACATTGGTAGAAAATAGGGAGCCGATATCGATAGTAATTAACGCAAGATGAGCATGTTTCCAAAAGTAATTGTATTATTTCCAGAGGAAATCGTTGTCCATTTAGTAATCGAACATGTATTAATCGTTTTTTTGTTGAGTATGTTTAAGGACAAGGAATGCATGAAGAAAGAAGAAGTTCTGAAAAGAAGCCATCATAAACCGAAACTCAGCAGAACCTATTGTTATGAAGAACGATAAGCAAAACCAGGAAGCTTACTGGTGCTATCAACAAGACGACCGAGATGACGAGATGACAATTTGACAATATCATGGAACGAGAGATAAGAAATTCTAGGCAAGTATTATTTCCCCCCGGAAAAATAAAATGCCTACTTCACTGTTTCATCAAGCTAATGGCAGAAACTCGCGATTCATATATTATAAATTTACAGTCTTGGGTTAGTTGATATTTCTAATAGATATTTGCATTCGAACGAATTTGTTATTGTTAACAAAATCGAAATGAGGCCACCAATTAATACACACTTTGTTATTATTCAATTTTACTCACACTATAAGTGTAGGTATTTGATATACCAAAATATTCAGAATAGCTAACATATTGGGAAGTCGAAATCTAGGAATACAAATCAAGGTATTTCTTGGAAGGCAGTCATTCCGATTTAATGACATTCGCTTATGAAACAGAAGTATTTCAGCGAATCCAAATTGGGAAAAAAAATTAAATGGTGAATGTTTTCCATATTTGAAAAACCAAAATTCAGTTCGTGGGAAAAAAAAAAAAAATTATTAATAATAATAATAATTAGTAGGAAAACAAGAAATAAGAAATGGGTTGTCATATGTTTATCTAGTTTGTATCACCATCCGAAACAGTTTTGCTTATAAATAATATCCGAGTTTCGAGTTCGCGATTGTTATGATATCAGATATCATAACACATACATGAGGTTCAAGTTCAACGATAGGAAAAAATAATGATAGGTGGAAGCGGCATTTTTTAAGTAAGACAAATTTCAATACGTTATCTGGAAGATTTTATTAGGGAGAAATTAAAGGGAAAAAAAAATATAATGAGAAATAAAAATGAGTATTAGGATTATCGATGGGTTAATGAAAGAGGTTAACAGTTTAACCGAGTGATGCATACTGGGGTCAGTGACAATGACATGTAACGGTCAATGTCAATATTCGAGTAAAATAAAAGCGGTCACCTCGATACCGGCATAATAAATCCAATAAGGTAGTTTCAAAATAATAATAGAAATAGTCACGCGGTACGTTAATCGGTTTGATTTTATTTAGTATAATGAGTCAGATGGGTATCACAATATAAAGTTTATTTATATATATTTTGTTATAAGATTTTTAACTGCCATATATTTTCTGTTTGTTTTCATGTGATCGCACACACAAAGGCACTGATGGGTTTCATCGTACAAGAAGTGGACGCACAGTTCTGGCATCAACAACAGCAGGAGGCATGAATAGGCTGACGACATCCCGAAGGGCAACCGTTAAGGGTACCACTGCAACCAACAAGAAGGGCTATCGTAACCATACCTTGCCAGCAATAATGGACCGTTGTTTCAACAGCAACGAACGGCAGAAATGAATACAGAGAGCCATGCAACGATTGATGGAGAGATGGCATCTCTACAGCCGCTGGATAGCATCCTCAGGGCAAACCAAACTCGGTCATTAGAGGAAATCAGGGAAGACGTTACCGGACTATGGTATTTGGCCAAACCAGATGTTCAGCATACCTCCGGGCCGTCGACGCCATGCCAGGAAGTCCGTCCTAGGTTAGTTAGCCAAGCCAGGCTGATTAACAATAGCTGACTAGTCGTGTCAGTTAATCGACAGTAATGAAGCCAGATGCCAGAAGAGCCGAGATGAAACCCAGAGACTACAGTTTGGAGTGCCTAAAGACAGTGAAGTGTGTGGATGAACTCACAAATTTAAGTTGTACTATATGGACAGTTTTTAGATAGTTTTTTTTTATAGGAATTCTCAGAAATTTTCAGTGATTCCCAGTAATTTTTTTGAAGAATGATTTATGTTAAGGATAGGAGTTTTTTTATTATTAGATTTGTATGATGATAGGTTAGTACGTAGTGCTAGGAGTACCCATCTGACCATTTTTTAACGACGGAGGCCGTCGTTTTCAGAGGAGGGGCATGTCACAAATAGGGTTATTTTTCATTCATTCATTCAAATTCATACAAGGTTCGAAGTCATTGAACGGTCGCGTCTTTGTTTATTAATTCCAAAATTTTCGAATCGTGAACGAACTCTTTTTTCCATAGTTGAACATAAACACAGGCGTGACATTGACTTCAACGAACCTGGACTATCGACCTGATTTCCTTACTGTCACGTTTCCGAAAATAAAGACAACTATTTAAAAGACGTAAGGAAGCGGGTTCGACAGTTCGACTACCGGTTCGACTGCGAGTTGGACTGCCAGTTCTTATTGTAGCTCTGTTTTTTCAACACGACCACGGGAAGTCTCTTCTTGATGTTGAATCATCTCCGATAAAATGGCTTGTCGGTCCTTAGCCCGAAAATCAGGCGCTTAGGACTCTGACAAGGACGCGTCGCGAATTTACCGTAAGAATGATAAATACGTTTTCATCGGTCGTCTGAAGCTGTGACACTGATGCCCTTCCTCCAGGTCTCAGAAGATAGCTTGTACAAGCATAAGGTATGTTTTAAATTGTTATTCATATTCTGATTCTGAATAAATGTGTATATTTGTTGTTTTGAAAATGATTTCACTTTTTTTCCGACTATTCATAAATTGCCAAGGTTCACTCTCTATTGACAAAAAGAACACAGCTTAGGCAACCCCCGCCTACAGTTTGTGACAATATCACATGTGATGTTTCATCGGCTTCAAAGAGAGCTAGAACACTGAAAAAGTCTGCAGAACAAAACTTACAAAGGGTGTAAAGTGGAACCATTGCACTAAGGTCTACATTTCCAATGGTGCCAGAACTCGAGAAATTTTTTTCTGATCGAAAGTCAGTCATATTATACACTGGCACCTCATCTCGGGACATTTTCGTGATTTCTTTCAAATCATTGGAACAATTCGATTTTTTTTAAAGTCTTGTATTTCTTGAACTCTACTAGAGCTGAATATTGGGAAGAACTGTTCTCATGTTTTGTGGAGGACAATGAAAGACGAAAAAAGCACCATTGTGGAATATACAGGATGATAAGAAAATAGGACAAAATCTCATTTCAGTAAAAAAAATAAAAAATGGTGACTAAAACCATGATCCATTCGATTCAGTATATTCAGAAACGGCTTTCTCGATATTTATTATTTATATTAGACTAATAACTCGAGACGTTCTCGAATATTCGCCTCTAATTGAAATACAGGATGAACATTTTCAATTCAAACTTGTCGCCTGATATCGATGATTCTTTTCAACTGATTCCCAATATTTATTGCCCAAGTATGAGACACAGAGTATTGTTGTTGAATATACTGAGTGTTCCACAACTTATCTGACAAATTACGAACTCTAGAAAACAATAATGTTAGAAGAGTGTGGTGACCAGCATTATCTCCAGATCTGAATTTGATTGAACATGTGTATTGGAGCCGAATGAAACTTAACCTATCGAGAAGGCGAGAGGCACCCAAAAATAATGACAACCTTATCCAAGCTGTATCAGAAGAATTGGAGGCAATATCAATTGACTTCATCAACAACCTCATAGAATCTATGCCAAACCGATTTCATGAGGTTTTGTTGAATCGGGGAGGCCTACCAACTACTGAAATTTAAGATCTAGTTGGATCTCCATAATGCTGAAGAATTCTCCAATGTCATATTTCGCCAATAGATCACTTTTCGAATAGTTTTTGTGGATATAAAGTGTTATAAATTTTATTTTCCATCTCGTTTTACTTTTATAAAATTTTTATGTGATAGGCTTCTTATGTAACATTGTAGTTGTGGTTGAAAGTTGTCAGATAAATATGGAACACTCAGTATTTCAAAAAACAATACTATGTGTCTCATACTTGGGCAATAAATATTGGAAATCAGTTGATAAGAATCATCGATATCAGGAAACAAGTTTGAATTGAAAATTGTCATCCTGTATTTCAATTAGAGGCGAATTCTCGAGAACTTCTCGAGTTAATAGTCTAATATAAATAATGGGTATCGGGAAGGCCGTTTCTGAATATACTGAATCGAATGGGCCATGGTTTTAGGCACCATTTTTTATTTCTTTTACTAAAATGAGATTTTGTCCTATCATCCTGTATATTCCACAATAGTGCTCTTTTCGTCTTTCATTGACTTCCACAAAACTTGAGAACAGTTCTTCCCAATAGTCAGCTCAAGGAGTTCTATAGAAAAAAATCAAGAAATGCAACTTTCGAAAAAGAATCAAATTATTGTTCCATTGACCAATCAAGGAGAAATCACGGAAATGTCCCGAGATGAGGTCCCAGTGTATCATAATATGAGTGACTCTCGATCAGAAAAAAAATTCTCGAGTTCTGGCAGCATTGGAAATGTAGACCATAGTGTAATGGTTCTACTTTACACCCTGTGTAAGTTTTGTTCAGCGGACTTTTTCAGTGTGTTCTAGCTCTCTTTGTGGCCGATGAAATATTACATCTGATATCGAAAATTGCATGAAGATCGGTCAATTTTTTCAAAAAATACAGGTCTTCGAAAACGAGTCAAATTATGGGTGGTCCATTTAGTGTGTTGAGAACTGTAGATGACTTCTAGTATTATTTAGTAGTTTCTATTAAATCGGTTTCTTTAAGGAGTTCGACGAGAGTTCCGATTGGGCGGGCAAGCCGATCCCCGGCTGGCTGTACCGCACCTCGATACCGACCGCGGTCCTCTTGGCGCTGCACGACCGCGCGCCGCAACTGAAGATCTCCGAGGACCGGCTCGCGGCTACCGGGGACAAGGGGTACTCCACCGTCAGGGCGACGCATTGTGAGTATTATTAATAATAATAATGATTATTCCACCCATTTCAAAAGACACGTTTTTGATTGATTGGAATATATGTGTTGATGATGAAAGGGTGTCGGACGTTGTGGCTTTTTATTCAGTGACCCTTACTTTGGCGCTGTTCGGACAGAGACTACTGTGGTATTTGTTTCGTATGTCTCGGGCGCCAGATTCTTGATAAAGGTGATTTACTTCTCATACTCCTGCAGACAGTGGAGACAGGTACAGGAGGTGATTACTAGTGATTAGCTCACCTTGGAACCTGCTATAGTAAACCATGGGTCAATGCTATTGAATCGATCTGGAATAAATAAGGAGCCAAGGGAGTGTAGGCTTTAATTACAAATCCTGGAATACTGGTTGCTATTTTTATTCTAAGTATTACAGAAATCAAAGCGAATCTTTTCGAAAACCGCCTCAATTCTTGGGTTAGGCCTGGAAAATTATTTATTCGAACTATTTCATTAAGTTTACCTGGAGAATCAGAAACACAATTCCAAACGAATGAAACAGATTCAATTTGTATTCATTTCTCTTTTTCCTTCTATTTCCTCTAATATTTGCAATATCGGACTTGTAGTGAGGTTAATCATATTTTTTTCATCAATGGCAAATATTCATGAATCACAACCACAGAGTGACAGGATACAGAACACCGGGACACCATCGCACAGGACAGGAAGACTCAAGGAAAATAAGAAGAAGACTTGACAACTAACCATGTCAGCCGTCAGTCAATAGTAATAACCAATTTGACAAATGAAAAATTAAATTCATTCAATAATTCATTGGAAATGAAAAGAATGACCACAGAGAAGGATATATGAAATATTTGCTTACAAAAAAAATAGGGCGAATAAAGGTGAAAAATATTATACAAACTTACATGTGCAACACGAAATCACCAAACATTAATATTTTACACTGGCTTCAAAAGAAATATGAGAGCACTAAGAGAAGAGCGCGAAGAGCCCGATCCCTCAGCTGTCTTCCGTACTTCCGTACTCCTCATCAGCCTCGGTGCAAGGACAGCTCAATCCTAGATTCTGATTGGTCGGAATCCTCAACTATGTCTGCAGGAACTAGCATCAAAAGCACATGTACCTTAAACTCACAAAAATGCGAAAAAAAAATATCTTCAACCCTGACTGGAACAGAATCTACTACCCTTTGTAATGCTACGAATGAATTTGACTGGAAAATTTCCAATAACAAAAAAGTTGGGACCAGATCATCATCATTTCAACAGATGTATAATTCATCAAAATTTCATATCATAAGCAAAGAGTTGAAAAATATTGAAGTCCAGGGTTGTTATGATGTTCAGCAGAGTTTACTATCAGGAAAACATTTGAAAGTCAGGAATTGATGAACTCCTCAGACCAATTGGGTTTCCGGATTTCAAGCTTTCAGACAAGTGAAATTCAACTAGAATCAGTCTCAGGTTCTAGGCACTATACTAGGTACCTACAAGCTGTGTTCTCGATTTTGTATTTTGCTTCTCCATTGGTAGTTTAATCAAAAATAAAACGAAATGACTCAGAGCAGTAGCACAGTCGAGTGCTAAAGATTCAATAGTCGCACTTTCTGTCGGCACCATTAATGTTCGTTACCTCGTTTTGTTCACTGCGTAACCATAATATCAGTCCACGCGCACCAGGCTGCCGATTTTATCATGATATCAACACTTGGACACAAATATCCAACAATCTGTCATAAAACTCTTCAAGTCCTTGGATATTAATTACTAGAATAACTCATTTGAGACACGTCTCAGATTATTCAGATGAGGAGCCAGATAGTCGTACGGACAGAGTGTCAGTATTCTAATCCGCATTCGCTTGCTGGTCGTGGGTTCAATTCCCAGCGACTGCAGAAATTTTTCTGATGGCCCAAGAAAGTGTTTCGGATCACACGTTGAAAGGTAAGGCCCCCGTCATTCCCTCCTGGCACAAGACTCTCGAAGACTTCTAAGGTTGCTTGTAGACTGTTGGCCCGTGACACAGGGTTTATCGATGTTCTAAGTCGGTATGCCATTTAAGGGACCCACTCACTTAGTCCAAGTTAACAGGAAGGAGTGCCTCGGAGAGTCGCAACCCAGTCCTTGCCCCGGCCATGACCTCACCTTGCGGTTGGAAAAAATTTCAAAATTTTGTTTAAGAAGAAGCTCGGCAATGAAGTGCAATGATCTTACCTCACGAGAATTGGGGCGCTTGCCGGTTTGCATACGCCTAGGTCACTCCCCAAGAGCGGCATACGAACCGGAAGTGGAAATTTTTCAGTGTTATAGTCGATGATCGAAGAATGTATGCCCTTTGGCGAAACAATAAATTCGGACCCATTAAGCATTTTCCCGACATTTGCATACGATTCCGGAGAGGGGAGCTCGACTTATTCGAACATCATTTGACTGGATATTCTTCAAATAATCGATAATCGAAGAAATGTTCAAATTTTGACCATGGTTAGTGGACCACACACAATTTGCACATACCGTACAGGGTGTTTCATCAAAAATATCTCCCATTGTAACTTAGTTGTTTCTGAACCGATTTTAAAATTTCAAAAACCAATTGAAATGATTTTCCTAAGAGATTTTTCATTGTTATCAAAAAATGCACAGGTTGTTCATAACAAATAAACTATTGGGTAGTTGTTGATTTCTTTTTACTGAAACACTATTCTTTACCTCACTATCGAGTTGAAATTATTATGACGAATACAGCTCTACAGCATCTACACCACCATCATTTACACGCAGCACTCTTATAGCAATCATGCGCCAAATTGTCAAATTGTGCCAGAAATATGAATCTCGGGTTTAAAGTATTTCCTTTTTTTTGCTGAAACAATTTTCTTATCTGAACAATGATTTGCTGCAGCAGCCGGGTAGAGTGTAGCACGTAATGATTCAGTAGGCATTCAATAATGTTTTTTCCTTTTGTCGGAGATTCGATATTTAAATATCTCGAAAACCATTTACTTTTGTATAATGTATATTATAGATTTATCCACTTCTTACTGCCTTATTCCCTACCAGTGGTATGAATCGGATTACCAGTAACCCTGTATATAAGTGCAGCGTGTGAATCTTATCACTAAAATCAACTATACTGGGTTTGATGAAGTTATGTCATTGTCAGTTACATGAAAAATAATGAAGGGGGCTGGGCCCTTGATACTTTTTTTGGGTACGATTGCCATTGGTACCTTGGTGAAGCTCTTTCAGTTGGTGATATCATAATCTCTGAGCTGAGACTTCAACTGAGAAAGTATCAGGTATATCTTTCGATCATGCCAAGATTTTTCAATAATCAAATAATATACTTACTAACAGGTACTGATGGCAACTCTGGAGAATCATCTTCAGACAGCGAGAGCGAAGATGACTCTGAAGATAATGATAGAGAGGACGACGTATAATTTCTCCTTTGAAATATAATGTTGTTCTCATTTAATATAATTTCATTTTCAAATAATTTTTTTTTATGTGAAAAACAAGAATGTAGATTAAAGTTCAGGACCCCACACTATACCCAAAACAACGAACTAAATAAACATTCTTTATATATTTTTCAGACGCCAGTATTATGATAAGCAGACCCATAAGCCCCAGGAAGAATTTCAATTCGATTTATTGTGAGTTTCGATCATGAGCAATAATCCACCCCTCTTCTCCCTGTACGATCCCTCTTGATCATCTTGCGAGTATCTTGTTGTAAATTTTTTTCATCATCTTTTCAAAGCCCTGTTTTTCAAATTAAAATCACACAAAAAAATTTCTTGGTACTAAACCTCTCACACATGTAATTTTGTTGAGCTGTGAATTTCTGATGGATAAATACAAATATATCTGCAATTTGCGTCTTCGAATATCCTCATCACTACCAGGAAGATACTTTTTGACCCGGTTTCATGTGAAGTGAGATTATGAGACTTCCCGATTATCTAGTTCGCTTTCGGTGCACCTCTGGCCTGCGGTGCGGGGCGCCGCGCCGGACCGAGGCACGCGCGGGTTTGCCCGATTATTACAACGTATGCTCACATTGAATTCGTATGCAAATAGCATCCAGTTATAAAGAATATCCTAGTTTATCGGTCTAGAGATTTGCATACGAACTTAAATCATCGATTATTTGAAAGATGTCTAGTCAATTGATGTTCGAATAAGTCGAGCTCCCCTCTCCGGAATCGTATGCAAATGTCAGGAAACTGATTAACGAATCAGAATTCATTGTTTCGCCAAAGGGCATACATTCTTCGATCATCGACTATAACATTGAAAAATTGCCACTTCCGGTTCGCATGCCTCCCTTGGGGAGTGACCTAGGCGTATGCAAACCAGCAAGCGCCCCAATTGTCGTGAGATAAGATCATTGCACTTCATTGCCGAGCTTCTTCTTAAACAAAATTTTGAACTTTTTTCCAACCGGAAGGTGAGGTCAGGGCCGGGGCAAGGACTGGGTTGCGACTCTACGAGGCACTCCTTCCTGTTAACTTGGACTAAGTGAGTGGGTCCCTTAAATGGCATACCGACTTAGAACATCGACAAACCCTGTGTCGTGGGCCAACAGTCTATTGTAGGGGGCAACCAAATGACGGATAGAACAATTTTGGAACAATTTTTAGAACTGAAAAATAAAATATCCAACCTAACATCAGGTGGGCACTTCGAAGGTGCAAATCCATTACTTATGGGAAATACCCTTCATATTGACGTTTTAGCCTTCTGCGCACCCAACATAATATGCCACGTATCGAATCGAGATGGATACAAAATCTTAGTGAAAACACATAACTGGTTCTTAGAGGATTAAACTGTGGCAGTAGGCTGTCGATAGTATTTTATGTTAGTGAGACTGTCATGACTATGACTTGACGGTTGTTATTCTGATATTGTGTTTTGTCCTCAGCGTCATTGTCATCATATGTCATTTGCCATTTGTGATTAGTTAACCTAATTCAACGAATTCCAGTTCCACATGTTGGCTCTTTTTGATAAGTGAACTTTGTCAAAAATTTCAATTATCTAAGCTCTTATTATTGAGCTTTTAAAAAATGATTCCTTAACATTAACTCACCCGCACTATGCGCGGTTTATAAATAATATATTTTTTTCCATGTTTTGCATTATGTGAACTTTTTCCACCAATAATGGTAGGTACATTTAGATTCCATAATCAACACTTATGACTAACATAAGCATTGTTTCTTCTTACAGATTTTCTTTTTAACACATTTGCTGATGATGAAGGATTAATCCTTCGAAACATGTCCTTTTTATGTCCATGACCGTTGGTCATTATTAAAATTTTTATGTGGTGGAGTTGTGACTGTAAGTTCTTTCACCCCTCCTGTTATATATCACCTCCACTGTAAGTATGGATCACCTACGTTGGTTACTATGATAGTATCTTCATATACAGGAATAAATAACACTAAATGCTAAACTTCAGCCAATAACACTAAATGCTAAACTTCAGCCAAAATAGTGATAGGAACTCATTTGTATGTATCGATGCATTTTTGACAAACTTCGATGTATCGTTAGTTACATAACTCAACGACTGCAAATGGAAAGTGAAATAATCTTGACAAATACAACTTGTTTTAATAATGATTTTCGAAAATTCCTTCCGCTATGCGCTCGTGTGGTTTCCAAGCGACATTTTGATTCTCATAATCACCTTCACTTGTTGTATTACTATATGGTAATCAATTCATTAGGCACTTTGGTACAGTATGTATCTGTGATAAGTCATAATATCAAGAACTAAAATTTTTTTGTAAAATCTTGAAATATATTCAAAATAAAAAATGAGTACTCAGTTGTCAGTGTTTCATTTATCAGATATTTCAAACCCATTTTACTCATACTGATTGCTCTATGGAATATGAAAAGATCATCATACGACGTAAAATTATAATTCTATTCATGAAATCATTGAGTGAAATAATCTTAACAAATACAATTCTTTCATTGATGATTATCGAAAATTCTTTTTTGTTTAAACTTCCGGCTATGCTCTCCTGTGGATTCGTATTTTGATAATCATCAGTACATTTTTTGTATTTCATAAGATAATCCACAAAGGTAGGTATAGTCTTTAACTGCTTTCTGCTATATACAGATGACCAGGAAGCCCCTATATCCTGTGAGATATTTTCAATTATGCAAGAATAGTTTTCAACATTTGAGGCCTGTTCGTTTGTGTTTGCTCTACCTGCTAAACTTGATTTTTTTCTATGACTATCTCTGTTTACATCATGCCATGAACAGAGACAACTATGGGATCAAAATCAACTTCAGCAAGTTTAGCAACACAAACGAACAGAGCGTTGGTTTGAAATTAGTCTTCACATCTCCTATTATTGCAAAAATCAATGTTATCTGATTGGTTATTGAATATTAATTGATCAATCTGATATCCGTCGATATAAAGGCGTCACCAAAGGCACCTGGTACTTCGAGACCACCATCGAAGAGATGCCGGAAGGCTCCGCAACCCGGATCGGCTGGGGCCAGGACTACGCGAACCTGCAGGCGCCGCTCGGCTACGACAAGTTCGGGTACTCTTGGCGCTCGAAAAGGGGCACCAAGTTCCACGAGTCGCACGGCAAGAGGTACGGCGAGGGGTACGGGGAAGGAGACACGCTCGGGGTGATGATATCACTGCCAGAGAACGGGAAAACCACTAAAATGTTGCCCGGGACTTATAAAGATAGGGTGAGTTCCGTAGAATCTTCAAAGGTTTCAGTGTCATTCATCAATACACTGTTACGATAAAGTTCGGGTTCAGTTTTTCACAAACACTCAGTAGGAAACTTACAACACTACGATATACAATACACGATACAGTATTACAATAACTACATCTCTCAATAATATAACTCTAAAAACACCTTTAGCTACATGATCCGGCTTTTTCAGTAAATGGCTGCTATTCACTTTCTAGACAGGTCAACATCCAAGGTGTCACTAAAACGATGAACTTTTGGAGCATTCCTATAATTTCCTCAGTACTCTGGTACACAACACTCATAAAGCACTGTTATTTCGGTCAACGCAAAATAAGAGGGAGAGAGAGAATATGCTTTATTGTCTAAAGATGTAAAATTATATTGACAAAGTAATAAAAAAAAACTAGAACTGGAGGAAATCGCTACCAACAACACAATCATTTTGAAATCTATTTGAAATTCAAACACTAGTTAAACGTAGTTCATAACGGATTCATTACAATATATCAAAATATTCCTATTAAAAATGATTTTATGGTTTATATGTATCATTGAAAAACTCTGTAAATCATGAAAGGATTTATCCGAAAAGAGTGCTTATATTCTCTTTTTGAATTTTTTATTGGCTTCAATTACTGAATCTTTAATTAGAGCTGATGATGGAATTGGTAACTTGATGTTACCAGCTTGCCGGGTGGCATGATGTGTAGAGGTAGTGTCAAATTTGCCTAGATGTATTTTTTGAAATTTTTTCCAAGTATACACCCCTGAGGCACACCACATTCTACAGTGGACTCATCGGAGTATGTTGTTGTTTTCACAACCCGTGAATCCATAGTGGTAAAGCTTCCGCAACAGTATTCCGTGGTTCACACAGTCGAACGCCTTAGACAAGTCACAGATTACTGCCGCAGTAACTTCACCTCGATTTATCTCTTGGTATACGTCAAACAAAGAAGAAAAAATTGCATCATTTGTATCTTTTCCAGCTTGAAAACCAAACTGAGCATTGGGTATGATTTTATTTTTAACCTAAAATGCCGATAATCCATAAAACATTGTTCAATCTGATGAATATTCAACAAAGGTATTCGATCCTGCGTTAGTAAACATACCAAAATCGCTACTGAGTCTGAAGGTCTGTTCGGAAACCTACTCGGATTGGCTCGATCATTAACCTGCACGTTCGTTTACCTAACCCGAGTTGCATACCCGTATTCGTGAACTTCGGTGTTGCCTTCTCGATCACTAACTCAGGTTTGTCTATAGTATCCGTACTCGACAGCAGGAGTCTACAAAGCCACCGCATGCGCATCACCAAATAATAAAATTTGGTTATATTCATTTGTTTTCCGTATTTTATTCTGATTTTATTCTGTGTGTTGTTCAAGCTAAATGTCATGAATAACAGGAACATCACAATCTTCGCAACAATATCAGCACTAACTTCGAGAATTGTTTTAAAGATGATGAATGATGACATCCTGAAATGCAATGAATGAATACTCTCCTAAACGAAGACGAGTTTGCATTCAGTGTTTCCAGATCCAACCCTGAGTGACCCAGCAAAAGATTTTGACCCATGGCTCGCCTAGGTCCATTACTTTATACGTCCGTAATCTATATTATCTGGGTAGGTGATCTAAGTCAGATCTGAGTGATCCGTCACGTGATCTATTTGGATCGGGTTGGTGACCTGTGTAAGTTTCCGAAAATACCTTAAGTAAAAATATAGCTAAAAATCTGAAGGAAACTCCCATGCAGTAATGAATTTGCCCCTTCAAAGTTCCCACCTGATGTTAGGTTCAGATAGTTGATATTTTCATTTCATCATCTAAATAATCTGAGGCTTATGAGTCCCAAAAAATGGATTCTAATAGTTAAAATACGAAGTACTGACATATAGAGTTTCATGTCTGATTGTTGGATGTTTAGTGACCAAAGAGCAAAAAATAGAGACAAAACATTGACAAAGTGAAATAGAATGCGTAGAATTGAATGAAGAAAACAAGACAGGTGAATGCACCTCCATATCGAAGGTCTGATCAATCAAAAAGTATACCACTATTGTCGTCAATCTATTCATAAAGTTACTCTAATCAAAACTAGAGTCACTGGATGGTATTAGTTTGATAAGAGTTCGGACACAGGTTAACTTTTGTCCTTTTCTATTTTCTATAATACAATGGTTTAGGTGAATAAAAGAATGAGACATATATTCTGCTCTTTGTCTTTTCAATTTCCCTAGTAATGCCTGATTGTCAGATACGATTTCAGAGGTTATATTTTCTGTCAAATCAATCATAGCCGTAGATGGACAATGGGTATAGGGTACAAACACCCACTTCAATTTATAGTGATACACATCTAACAGAACAACTGTTATACAGGGTGTCCGCTAAAAGGAGGTCAATCCATTAACCACATATTCCTTGAACAAAAACAATATGAGTTTCTAAATATCATTTTTCATTTTAGCCCTTCATATTCGGTATACAGGGAGTCAAAGTTGGAAATTAAAAACTGTTTTTTTCTAATTACTCGCATATTTGATAAGATATTAATCTCAAAATTGGTACATTACTTCAGCACAAAGAGTTACATCGTGTGAGGAAAACAAAACAGAAAATAACTGTCAAATATTCAAGATACTGGGGGTCAAGTTCACACTTACCCCCATATTTTGTTTGTACGTGCGCTAATGACTTCCTATCTATTTTCCTTCAAGTGTTCAATCATTTTTGAGTATTTTTTGTTTCTTGTAAAATTTCGATTGAATCATTTGTTTTTAAGATAATTCGAAAAGTACTGGTTATTGTTTGATGCCTATGCGGCTTAGGTAATCTCATAATGTTCACATACTCCTATTTATTTCGTCGAAATTGAAAGAGGGCGTATCTTTTTACGTACGAAAAGGTAAATATGGAAATACCGGGTGCTCGGAGCAAATGTACTAAAATAATTTTTACAAAAAAAAAAAAATTAAAAAGTGTAAAAATTATTTTAATACATTCGCTCTGAGCACCCGGTATTTCCATATTCACCTTTCCGTACGTAATAAGATACGCCCTCTTCCAATTTCGACGAAATAAATAGGAGTATGTGAACATTATGAGATTACCGTAAGCCGCAAGGCATCAAACAATAACCAGTACTTTTCGAATTATCTTAAAAACAAATAATTTTATCGGAATTTTACAAAAATCAAAAAATACTCAAAAATGATTGAACACATGAAGAAAAATAGATAGGAAGTCATTAGCGCACGTACAAAAAAAAAATGGGGGTAAGTGTGTACTTGACCCTCAGTATTTTGAATATTTGACAGTTATTTTCTGTTTTGTTTTCCTCACACGATGTAACTCTTTGTGCTGAAGTAATGTACCTATCTTGAGATTAATATTTTATTAATTACGCGAGTAATTAGAAAAAAACATTTTTTAATTTTCAACTTTGACACCCTGTATATCGAATAAGAAGGGCTAAAATGAAAAATGGTATTTAGAAACTCATATTATTTTTGTTCAAGGAATATATGGTTAATGGATTGACCTCCTTTTAGCGGACACCCTGTATAAATGAAAAGAATGCATGTAACAACATTTTAATATCAGAAAATATACACATATGGATAAACTTATATAAGTTATTATATGTGAAACTGTACTCCAGTGATGAGTATAAAACATGAAGTTATTTATATTAAATTAAAGGTAGATATTCAGATATTCTCAATAGTATTACTTTCAAGTGAAGTATTCCTGAGACAATCATAAGAAATAAAGTCTATATAAGCATTTGTGTCCGGAAATGCTTCATTTCGTAGATACAGAGTGCTGAAATACAGAGAACAAATCATTTCTCGATAAACATTTGATAGAAAAAAAGTAGTTTATTTTGACGAGACCTACCAAATACTTGGTTTTGTAAAGTTCTCAGCAACTCCACTTAGCGCCCTAGGAGCTAATATATGTAACATGGATCGATATAGAAAATATCTCCAAAACATTAACCTCCAGCGTAATTAAGGCCCTTATAATAATTTCCTTGATACATAAATAACTATTCACTTTCCACTGTTGAATTTTAAATTTGGTCGGCACCAAAAACGCCATTCAATAATATATCACTCTGTAGTTTACTTGCTTTTCTTAGTTTCGTTTTCAAATTCTCAATTTCATTATGTAATTTTGCGATCATTTCCTCTTTTCCATGATCATTTCGTTCTGTATTTTGTGTGATTATAATAATGGAATTTTGTTCTCGAAATCGCTTGCTTTGTAAATTGATGGAACAGCAGATTCTCACAAACAGATTTTGAAATCTTCTGTTTGAAGATGGGCCTAAAATATAGTTTCATTCTAATCAGATGCTGTTATAAAATGTGAATTTTAATGAGTACCTCACAAATTTCGTCTTCAAATTGATTTTGCACCCATCAGGCCATTTCATATCTTCCTTCCATAAGCGAATGGTTGATATTTGTTTCGGAAAATTGAATGAATGATATCCATTTTCTTCAGAAATGGCACAATTTATTACACAGCAAGTAATTTCCATAGCTGCTTTCATCTCGAATGTATAATTATGAAATTTCATTTCAATTCTGACGTTTATAAAATGTATTGTCAAATTCAAACAATTTTGAATGAAAAAGCGCAGGACGACTATGGTGCTCTTGTCACAATGCAAGGTGTGAAACCTAATAAATCTAAACATTCAAAAACCCTAATCGTTGTCATTTCTGTGTCCGAACTCTTATCAAACTAATACCATCCAGTGACTCTAGTCAAAACTAGGGTCCCTTGATGCAAACTGACGTATTTGTCATCTAACAGGGTACGGACAGATCACAGCTCCTTTCTCTTTTAATCATCTAGTGACTTTGGTTTCGTGTATTGGCGTCCCTGACATGACATTGCTGTCACGTTACATTCATAGGCGTTAAAAGAGATCTTACAAAATTTCAATTACATACTTGATTAA